CCTGTTGTCAACTGAATAGCATTCCTAATAAACTCCTTAAAAGCCATTTAAGCCTCTCCCTGATATGACCCCCTAATCTATAATCTCAAACTTAATTTCAAACCCTTCTCACTCTGTAGCCTCACTGCAGCTTAACTTAACTCTTCACCATCTCTAAATGTATCCCTTCAAGTTCTACCTCAGTGTTTTCTCAACCAGCAAACCCTTACATAATCTCCCACTCCCAAGCCCACATCTAAATTATTTCTTTTGCTATTAGTAATCCTTCAACTATGAGATCAAAAATCATCTCCCCTCTAGAGGAACAGGAACACCTTGCAGTGTTTGTTTTTGTTTTTGTTTTTAAATAGCACAATGATGGAGAGGGGCTTTAAAATCCTATGATAATTGTTTGAAGAAATGGAGATGTTTGTTACAGAGAAGATTTAATGATAAAAAACTACTATGGGGATGTGGATTGGACTTTCTGCTCAGCTCCAAGAGCAAAAACTGGAGTCAGTATCTGGGAATTCGAGGGAAACATTTTAGGCCAAAACAATTAGCTCAGGCCTATGAAGCTAATTGAGTCCTCACTTGTGGTTATGTTCTTTTCTGCCTCTAAATTTTTGCCTAACTCCTACTTTCATGTCTCAGCATGCTTTCTTTTGGAAGGATTTCACTGACCTTTCTTTATCTGCCTATAAAATTTTATTAAAGTGATTGTGGTGCCAAAGTATGATTCCATGATAAGTTTATCCAGGTCCCCACGTGTTTGTGGGTTTCATGGTGGCAGGGGCAGTGCTTATCCCATTTACTGTTTTATCTCTCATGCAGAGTCTGGATCCTGGCACTATATAGGTCAGAAAGCATCTGCTGATAAATGGGCAAAGGCAGGAATGAACAAGCAAGTACATGACAAGTAACCAGGCTGCCATATTTCAGACTAGCACCCATTTAAATGCATTCTTATCACTGGCTTCAGCATCAGATAGAAGTGAGTTCAAGTCCAAGTCCTGTCCCTTAATAGTAGAGTGATGTTAGATTAGTGAATTAAAATGCCCACACCTAGTTTGTTTTATTTTGTCATTGTTGCTATTAGTTTGTTTTTGTTTTTTTCTTTTTAATAATTTATAAAATGAGGATAATTATACCCATCCTGACCTACATTTCAGCTAGGGTAATTGTGAGGAATGCATGAGTTCTCACACGGGAGAGGGCCTCAGGAATGAGAACTATTCTTACTAAACTGCACTGAGCTACTAACGTGTATTGTACAATCAAGACAGGCGCTTGGCAGTGTGCAAGACTGACATCTTGTTTTGTTTTGCCCCCAGGCTCTGTTCACAGCACAGCCATAGTTAGTGAAGAAAACCTGTGAAGGACAAAGGGTGGTGACTGATTAGCTCCGGCCCTAAATGTCCTCCACACACCTACCTGTCATGTATGGTTAATGCCTCAGAACATTGACCCAACCCAGACCAGCCCAAGCACCTGGTCACAGATGGAGGGAATCAGAGATATGGCCTCTTCAACCAGCATACATGCCAAGGCTAGAGACATTCTAGTCATTAGCCCAGTCAACATCCTCATGGAAAAAATGGAGAAATTTGAGTCCAGGAAGGGAAACAGAAATGCCCACAGATCACCCAGCAAGTTAATGAGAGCTGGAAAACAAATTCAAGCCATCTGCCCACTGCATTCAATCTGCTCCCAGCACCACCAACACCCACAGGACTATTGTAGTGATTTTTTCTTTTCCTTTATAAGGGGCTAATTTGCATGGAAAAGTATTAAGGTATGATTTACATGCAGTTTAAATTTATCCTTTTAAATACAAAGTTCTGTAAGTATAGTCAAACAAAATTTTATAATTACAACCATACTCATGACAAAAAATTGTCTACATTTGTGAAAAATTCTCTCATGCATTTCTAGTAAACCCCTCCCTCTCTGCTCAATGCTTGGTACCCAGATTTATTTCCTGTCCCTATAGCTTTGCTGTTTGGGGATGTCACATATATCAGATTAGAATTCTACAGTATGCATTATTTTGAGCTTGGCTCTTTCACTTAGAATCCATTTGAAATTCATCCACACAGTTGCATGGATCAGGAGGTCATTCTTATAATCCTAGGTAATATTCCTTTCTGTGGATGTGCCATAGCATATTATCCATTCCTCGGTTGATGGATACTGCGTTATTTCATACATTTGGAGGCTGCTACCAGTAAAGTCACTACTAACATCCCTGCTGTTTTAGCACGAATATTTTGTATTTCACTTGAGTATACACCTAAGAGTGGGATTGCTGGGTCACATGGTTAACTGTTTTTATTTAACTTTATAGCAAACTGCCAAATTGTAGCAACCTATTAGAGTTTCAGTATGTATATTCTCTAGCATCAATTACAGGTTTTTTTTTTTTTTTACTTTAGTCATTCTAATAGACAGACAGGGATACCTCACTATGGTTTTAATTTGCATTTCTCTTATGACAAATGATGTGGATGTTTTTTCATGTACTTACTTGTCATCAACATATCTATTTTGGAGAAATAGTTTTTGATACATGTTGCCCTTTTTTTCTAATCAGGCTGTTTTCCTATTACCTAGTTTGAGACTAATTTAAATATTCTGGCTATAAATCCTCTAGCAGATAAATAAGTTTTCTCTTCCCCTGTGACTTGTTTTGGCTTTTTCTTGCGTCTTTCATGAGTGCAGATCATGTTTTTGGCATTAAATCTAAAAAAGGCTTTATCTAACCTAAAACACAAAGATTTCCCTTTATATTTTTTCTAGAATTTAAGTTTTTATATTTAGGTCTATACACAATGTTGAATTAATTTTATATATGATATCAGGTATAGATGAAGATCTATTCTGGGGGGGGGGTGGCATATGGATATCCAGTTTTTCAACATCACATGTTGAAAAGACTATCTTTTCTCCATTGCATTGTCTGTGCACTTTTGTTGAAAATCAGTTAACCATGTAAGTGTGAGTATACTTTTCAACTTTATTCTTCCCCAGTGATATGCTATTCTTTCTCCAATATAATACTGCTTTAATTACTGAGCTTTACAGAGGTCTTGGAATCCCGTGACAGTGACTCCTCAAACTTTGAATTTCATACTTTTATTTTTTTTCTTTTGTAACTTTTTTTTAATATTTTAGTTTTTATTTTACATAATTTTTGCATCATTTTTCATTTTTGTACAATGTATGTATTTACATCTTGGTTATATTCCCCATACAATCCCCACCCCCCTTATTTTGACCCTAATCCTTCCTCTCCTGTTCCCCGGCCCCGTAGTGTGTCTCTGATTTATAATTGCTTGTTGATTTTGATTTTTACTTTATTATAATTAGTATTTTTCCTGGTCCCTTATTTAGGTTTGTTCTAACATTTCCCCAAATGTGTCTCAGTACTTCCAATTCTTTGAGCTTTCTAGTTTAAAAAAAAAAAAAAATTATTTTATTTATTTATACAAGCACTGGGTACAGTCAGAAGCACGGGAGGGTGAGAGAATTCACCAGAGCCAGAGCGGGGAACAGAACAGGCAGATTGATGAAGAAATACACTGCTGAGGGGAGCAGCGGGCGCGACAGGAGAGGTCTGTCGCGCCATGTGGGACCCTCGCTGGCAGCTGGGGATCGAACCGGCGCTGGAGAGGCTGAGGGCAGCTTTGCAGCCCAGCGCTCAACCACTGTGCCACCAGGGGAGGCCCATCTAGTTTTTTTTTTAATCCAGTTCTAGTTCTTTTAAAATTTCCATATAAATTTCAAAATCACTTTGTTAGTTCTATACAAGATCACTTTGGGCAGGATTAATATCTTAATATCTCAAACAATGAACATAATAAATTTTATCATTTATCTAGGTGTTTTTTTATTTCTTTCCACAAAATTACAGATACTCAGTTTACATAATTTGCACATATCCTGTTAGATTTATAGCTGAGTACTTTTTTTTTGCACAAATATAAATGGTATATTTGAATTTCAATCTCCAACTGTTGCAATTGATTTTTGTATATTAACTTTGTGTTCTGAAGCCATATTAAATGCTCTTATTAGTTGGAGTAGCATTTTTGTAGATTTATTCAGGTTTTTCTACATAGTTATGTCTTATGTGAACAGAAAAAGCCTCATTTTTTCCTTTCTATCTGTATATACTTAAAGTCTTTTTTGTGACACACTGCATTAGGAAGGACCTACAAAAAAGAGTAATAAGACAAAATCATGTGTCATGTTCCTGATCTTATGGGAAAAGCATTCATCTTCAACAGTAAACGTGATGTTAGCTGTGGGTGTTTTATAGATACCTTGTATCAAGTTGAGGAATTTCAATTCTATTCCGAACTTGCTGAGAACTATATGCATATACTAAATATTAAATTTTGCTAAATGATTTTCAGTATATATTGGGATTATATTTTTCTTCTTTAGTATAGTCATGGTAAATTGCATTTACTGATTTCCATATATTGAATAAGCTTTGCGTTCCAAGTATAAATCTTGCTAAGCTGATTTGCTATAATTTAGCCAATAGGGAATGTAAATAAAAATCAAAATTAGATAGCCCTCTATACCTACTAATACAGTCAAAAGCAAAAAGGCATAATAACAAAAGTTATGATGTAAAGAAACTGAAAATTCTGCTAGTAGTAACGCAAATGGTGCAGTTGTTGGGGGAGAGTCTGGCAGTTCCTCAAAAGATTAAACATAGAATTTATGACATAAACTTATGATGCAGAAATATGCTTATGAGAAATGAAAACATCCATCTGTCCAAACACTTGTACAGGAATGATCACAGCAGCATTATCTATAAGTCCAATAGCAGGCACAACCCAAATTCCCATCAATTGAAGAATGAATAAATAAAATTCAGTATAATCTTACATTAGAATACTATTTGGTAATAAAAAGGAATGACGTACTAATACAGCTCTAGTAAGGAAGAACCTTGAAAACATTACCCTAAGTGAAAGATACTAGAAAAATGTCACAGACTGTATGATTGCATTTATTTATTGTTATTATTTTTTGGAGTTGGCTAACACCTTTATTGCTTGGGGGATGGGGGTGGGCCCAGGAACTCTCCATGGGGCAAGTCCTCCTCTTCACCATCAGGATTCTGGCTGCACAGGCCTGCAGATGGCAGTCATGCACAGGCTGGGGCAGTCTTCGTTCTTGTGGATCATGTGCCAGATGCTGATGGCCTGGGCTGGCTTGTGGGTGGTGGGCCACACAAAGGAGGTGGCAGTCTTCTGCTGGCCAGATTCTGCTGGCCAGATCGCCACATCATGACCACATCCACACCTTTGCCATTCACTTCAGTTCCACATCCACAGTCTCGAGGTCAATCAGCCCATGGTAGCGGAAGGAGTTGAGGATCTTGAGATGATTGGCTCAAGTGCTGCTTGTCTGCTTATTCCTCCTGATGAGGAAACTGGAGCAGTTCCAAACGACCATGCATTGCTGATGTGTGGAAATGGCTGCAGTTTCTCTCGAAGCAACCAGAGGCAGAAAGAAGGCAGGATTACATTTACATGAAATGTCCATATTAGGCAAATCTATAGAGCCTGAAAGCAGATTAATGGGAGCCTAAGGCTGGAGGAGAGGTGGATTAAGAAGAGAGAAGTGCTTGCTAACAAGTATGGGTTCTTTTTGGGGGTGATTAAAGGCTTTAAAATTGATTATGACAATTCACTGAGTATTCCAAAATCTATGTGGTATCTAAATTTTATCTCAATAAAACTCTTCAGCATTGATTCAATGGTGAAGTTATCTTATCCCAGAGTCTCCTCTCTTGAAAACTTCTTAAGTAGGAGTTCGGCCTTTAATAGATAGGGAATTATTCAAATGACCTATTTCTTATTGAATGACCTTTAGTTTGTGTCCAGGAATTTGTCCATTTCACCTAAACTGTCACACTTATGGATAAAGAGTTGGCTGTATTACTATTTATTATTCTTCATTATCTGTAAGATCGATAATGATGCCCCTATTTGATCCTGATATTGGTAATTTGTGTGTTCAATTTCTTTCTCTCTCTCCCTCTTTTTCTCTCTCTCCCACTTCCCCCTCCCTCCTCCTCACTATGCCCTTCAGGTTTGCCTAGATGTTCATCTATTTTATTACTATTTAAAGGGTTAGATTCTGGTTTCATTGGCTTCTCTCTTCTCAATTTAATTGATTCACACTCTGATCTTTATTCTGTTATTTCTGTTTAACTTTCTCTTTTTCTAGTTTCTTAAGGTGGAGGCTGAGGTCACTGATTTAGCTCTGTTTTTTTATACAAGTATTTAATGCTATGAATTGCTGCTAAGCATTGCAATAGCTTCCTCACAAGTTTTCAAATGTTTATTGTTATTAATTTTAACTATGTTTAACTATGGCATGGGATATTATGAATTACTTAAGATTCCATACATTTAATTTCCAAGTATGTGGGGACTTTGACATATTTGATTATTTGATTTCTAGTTTGATTCCATCACAGTTTAAAAAAAAATCCTTTGTATTATTTTAATTCTCTTGTTGAAGCTTATTTAATTACCCAGTAAAGTTCATCTTGAGCAATGTTTCACCACAAATGAAAAAAAACTTGTATTCTGCTGCTTGGGGTACTTTAAAATATTAAATTTAAATTAATTTGGTTAACATTAGAATTCAGGTTTACTGTACCCTTCTATATTTTTTATCTGCTTGTTCTATCAATAACCAAGAGATGATTTTGATAAAGCTACAAATATAATTGTAGATTTATATATTTCTCCTTTCTCATCTGCCAGTTTTTGCTACATACATTTAATTTTGTGGCCCAGTTGTTAAGGGCATATACATACAAGATTGTTATAGTTTATTAATGAACTGATCCCTTCATAATTATACAATGTCCCTCTATCTCTTGTAATATTCATTGTTCTGAATACTATATCTTCTGATATTAAAATAATCATGTTACATTTCTTTTGATTAGTGCTTAATAATAATGTATATTTTGCACTCACGCTTATCTATGTCTTTATATTTAAAGTAAATCTCTGTCTACAGTATAGACTGAAAACCTCTACTTTCAGATTGTTTACATTGAAAGTAATTATCACTATGGTTGTGCTAAATCTATAATGTTGCTTTTGTTTCCACCTATTCCTTATTTACCTCTCTTTTTTGTCTGTTTTTGAATTAAACGACTATTTTCAGAGGTCTATGTTATCACCATTATTGACTTAATAGGTAAGCTGCCTTAAATTAACCAGTTTTTCTTCAATTTATAGTTTAGAAATTTGTATTTTTGAATTGATTCTGTATCTACTACCTCATTTGATACCACAGAAACTTCCGATTATTCAGCACAAATTATATGACTGGCAGAGAACTATTTACATGGTGAATTTAATGCTAAAGTTTTAATAATTTGGGGGGAAGTCACTGTTTCCATGTATTAATTTATGCTAATTTGTGTTTTTAAGTCCCCCTCATCCCATTGCATGCACCCAAGTGAGGCATGAGTCAGTGTCTCTTCTGGAATGTTGCCTCCACCCTCCCCCAAACACTAACTGCTAGAAAAACAAAAGTCACTGGACTCTTAACTGCCTTGCTTGTTTATATCCGCTCTCTTGACCTCAGCTTTGGCCCTCATTTCAGTGGGACTCTGGAATCTTCACCGCTGGCCCCAATTGCCCATTCAACTCAACGGACACTGCATTTATTCAACATTGTCTACTGGCCAGCCATGGTTACCGGCAGAGGGTATCTAAGAATAAATAACGCATGTCTCGTGCTTCGAAGCCTATGGCTTAATGAAGGTGTTATTATGCAGAGTGAGCCCTCGGCCGAAGTGATTAATTCTGCTATGGATTAGGTCAGGGATGTGGTCACAATGTTTTTCTCAAGGATGTAATGTATGAAGGATGAGTTGGTAAGGGTTGGATATTCCAAACAAAACTAAGAGGATGACAGAATACGAAAAAGCCTGGAGATAAACTTGATAAGTATAAGGTCAGAGGGAAGCTATATGCTAAAAGAATGATGGGGTGCAAATGCAAATGATGACGTTTATTAGACACACATTGCGTGTCTTTTTAGTGCTTATAATAAAATTGTATTAAGGTTGATCCTCTTGGTATCATCACATTGAAGATGGAGAACTGAAGTTAGAGAGTATTAACAATTTGCCAAGTGGTATTCTTAGGCACTGGGAGGATGTGTATTATACAGCGAAGGGGTGCAGACACCAATCCTTCATAGCAGACTGGCTATAAACAACCAGTGTGAACATTCTGGTACATGCCCAGATAAACATTAACCTTGATGAAGTCAGAGATGGAATGCAGGCCATCTGTCTACAGACCTTGCACTCTAAGAATCATTCTATACCATGACCTAGATGCTACTGGAACTACTGGTTAAGAATAAAACATGAAGGGAGCCATGGAAATTATTAGAGAAGAGAAATGACAGAGGATGTAAACATAATTATGTTTTAGAAAGATAAAAATGACAGCAACATTGAGATGAGGGAGGCCTATACCAAGAAGACTAAGTTGTTATTGCAACAATCAAGACAAAGTCACAATCTAAGATACTTATTGTGGAAATGAGAAGTTGATAAATGTGAAGACTATATTAGTGGATATGACTTTGTGAGCAAATATGTTCTGTAATAAGAAAAGAGTTAAGGGAAATTTGCATCTTCCTTTATTGGAAGGATGGGTAATTGGATGGACGGCAACATGCTTATATGAAATTATAATAGGAAAAGAAGAACAGAGGAAAATCCAGCTCTGAGCATTAATACCTACTGATTTCCAATTTCTGATTCCCCTTCAATGCTCTCTGTTCTCTTATCCCTTTGTCTTTCTCTCCCCATTATTTCTTCTTAGCATACCCGTTAATTAAAATCGATTTCAAGATTCAATTAGTTCACTTTAATTTTAACTTCTAATATCAAAATTTGAGAACTGGAGGGTTCATTCCTAGAAATAGGCTGTGCTCTTTCAAGCCTTTGTGTCTTCGCAGATGTCCTTCCTTCCATGTAAGGTGTCTTCTCCACATCTGCTTACACAGACACCTACGTGTCCACTTTTCAAAGGACATGAACAAATAATTACCTCCATGACCACCTTCCCAGGTAATGTTAACAATTCCCTGACAGTCTCCCAAAGGAATCTTTCATAACTCCAATAGCATTTCTAATATTTAAATTTTAATTATTGATTACATATTCGCTTCCTCAACAAAAGCAAGGTCAAGGTGTTCCTGTCCCCAGCACTAGGCAACTGGTACAAGTTCAATAAAATGAATAAGCAATTAATTAATAAATTGATCTGTGGCATGAGGATTAGCCAAGTTATAAAATTCTGTGTAGAAAAGTGATTAGTATGACAGGGTATGACCACTCCTCAGTTCACTCACATGCCCCAGCATATAGACACTCCTCCCATATGGGATGGGACCCTTACCTGACGCCACATACACCGTTAGGTTTGAAACATTAGTTGAAAAGAACCAAGAACAAGACAGGGGCTAATTATTTCCTTATAAGGCACAGAGGGTGGAAACACGCTCCAGATGTGATAGTAAACTGTCAAAATATTAACAAGGATGTAACACAACAAATAATATTTTGGAAAAAAAAAAAAAGAGTATCTAGCACTGTTCAGTAATTTCCTCTTGCCACGTATGCTTTTAATTTCTCACATACTACCCTTTATTGACCCCCTAAGTCTTGTTTTTCTCTCTAACCTGAAGTTTAAAACAGGAAAATACTCAGCGGGCTTCTTGAGGTAGGGTGGCCAGATCCAGAAAATAAAAGTGTGGGATCCCATGTTAAATATAAATTTAAGCAACAAAACCTTTTAGCATAAACCTGTCCTGTAAAACAGCTGTGATATACTTATCCTAAAAAAATTACTATTTATCTAAAATTCAAATTTAATGGGTATCCTGTATTTTATTTAACAGTCCTAAGTCCAGTTCACGTTCTGTCAAGGATTAAGAAGATACTTGTAATCTGCATGCTTGATACACCAAACTGAGACAAAACAGAGGTGAATAATGTGGATCAGACCTTCACTCAGAGATCAATGGGAAATCCAGAGACTAATGAGAAAAAACAGAGCAGACACAGGTAAATTTGTGTTCTTCAAGGATTTTTTGCCAGCAGCAGCACTGAGCTCATGCCAGTTCGTAATGTAATTAATTAATACAATTAAGAAGAGGAACTTTATAATTACATGTCCTTAAGTTCGATTCCTTGTTCTGGCACACACAGAATTTGTGACCTTGGGCAAATTACATAATTTCTGAAAGCTTGACTTTCCTTATATAAAGTGAAGATAATAGTGGTAGCCTCCCAATAGCTTTTTTGATATGAACCTTGTTTAATACCTGGTCAGAGGGCCTCCCCGGTGGCGCAGTAGTTGAGCGCAGGGTTGCGAAGCTGCCTGCAGCCTCTGCAGCACCGGTTCAATCCCCGGCTGCTCCCCGGCCACCGGAGGAGGGTCCCACATGGCGTGCAGACCTCTCCTGCCGCCCGCTGCTCCCCTCAGCAGTGTACTTCAGTCTGCCTGCTCTGCTCCCCGCTCTGGCTCTGGTGAATTCTCTCACCCTCCCACGCTTCTGACTGTACCCAGTGCTTGTATAAATAAATAAAAATAAATCTTAAAAAAAAAAAAAAAAACCTGGTCAGAGTGAGCAGCATTAGCATATCATCATCATCGTCTTCGTCGTCATCATCATCATCATTATCTCTAATGCTGCTTGCATGGCTGTCATTCCTCCTCTGGGACAACCAAAGATAAACTGAGTTGAATAGGATAGCGCAGGATAGGTTAGCAAAGACTACGATCACAAGTCTATCACTTATTTTCACATAGTATGTAAACAGTACTGTGCTTTGGGCATGTAATTTTTCATCCAGACCTCACAACAACTCCAGGAGGCATCCTCATTCCTATTTTGTAGATACTGAATCATGGCATATAGAAATGGGAAATATTTCTAACATCACAAATGGCATATATAAAACTCAATCTCAGTTCTGTCTGATTTGAGAACCCATGCTTCTAACACAGCAAAATCTCTCTGAGATTGCCAACCCAAATTTCAATTCTTTCCTACCCTGAGAAAGAATGCTGATGTAGTTATGCAAGGAAATGTCCATAGGAATGAAAGCATCCCCTATTCCTTTCATTCTCATACCTTCTTACCAAGCGAGAATAGCATTATTATTTTTTTTAAAGATTTTTATTTATTTATTTATACAAGAACCAGGGTACAGGCCAGATGTGCTGCAGAGGCTGCAGAGGCTGCGGACAGCTTCACAGTGCTGCTCTCAATCACCTGCGCCACCAGGGGAGGCCCTAGGCATTATTGATGAAGGTCCTCATCGTCCTCTTCCCATCTTCGGTAAAAATGTCTTTCGTCATCTCAGATTCTCCTCTACCTAAAGTAAAATTCATTTGCTTATGCTAATGGAGGATAAGTGGCAGCTTCTTTTTTTTTAACTATTGTACTATCCCTAAGTTCTCCCTTGATTTTATTTTTTTAAATATTTACTTATTTATGCATACAAGAGCTGGGGTAGAGGCCAGAAGTGTGGGGGAATGAGAGGATTCACCAAAGACAGAGTGGGGACAGAACAGACAGAGTGGGAACAGGCAGACTGACCGAAGCACACTGCTGAGGGGAGCAGTGGGTGGCAGCTTCTTAATTAATATCAATACAGCACACATTAAATATCTTTATAGTTATCAGGCATTTTATCTTTATTTGTTGGGTGTTTTCTATATATAAGTGTTGGTCAATGTATAAGTTTAGTGTACCCTGAGTACATATTCCAATTAAATGAGCACATAAAATTCTGAGGATAACCCATATCATCTATAATAGATCTGAACCAAATTTTATCCCCTTGAGTGTATCCAAAAGGATAGGTATTTTACTTTGGCGATACATAGTGACATCTCAAAACCAATATGCCTTTTCACTGAGTGCAAATAATTTAATTGTTTTTTTTTTCTTTTTAAATGTCTGCTCTATGCCTTGGGTACTATGTATTCATCTATGAAAAAGATAATCTCACCCTCGGAGTCTACATCCTATTGCAAGCAACACCTAAACAGGCACCTCACAGGCACAGAGCGCCTATCTCTGCCTAGAAGAATCAGAAGAAGCTTCCTGAGCAGCTAAAGTCAAAGTTGAGGCCAAGGCCAAAACTGTATAAGCTTCCTTGTGGTTTCAGAAGTAAAATGCTCAGTTGTTAAGGTAGCCATAGGCGAAAGCAGAAGACAGCAAGCAAAGTCCTTGGTCCTCAAACATTAGGGCAAGGGCTCTCCATGGCTGAAAGGGCAACTTCTGGGGCAAAATGAGTGGTCTTTTCATGAAGACTCCCCAGAGAAAATGGCATCTGAACACAAGCCCACAAAACAGGGATGAACGCTCCAAGGGGAGATGATAGGGAGGGTACCCCAGGAAAAAGAAAGAGCAAAGGCATGGGGGTGAGAAAGGGCATGCCCAGGTGGGAATGGGTAATTAGCTCAGAGGGTGGGGAAAGAGGCAGGAGAACAGGGAGGGGGCAGGCACACCTCGCCAGTCTGATTTATTGCGTGCTCCTGGGCACCCAACAGTAATTCTGCCTGATGCCCATCTAATTATCAACACGAGCCATGGAATTACTGCCAGAAGAGTTATTCCAGTGCCATTTATAAATACGCATTAGAAAAATGAAAAAGGTTTTTCTTCCCCATATGAAAAACTTTAGGTTTGAATACTAGGGCAGGGCTCGTTATTAGAGATCCAGGAGCAAGCTATCTTGTGCAACAACCTGAATTCCACAGCAGGTGATGTCATCTATACATGACCTATAAATGGAGCGAACAAGGCTTCAGGTGCATCTGGACAATTTATCTACACCAGTACCCAGTGCTACAACATGGCTGTCTCAGTACTTCGGCTGACTGCTGTCCTTGGACTGCTTGTCTTAATCCTGACCTGCCATGCCGGTAAGTACTTCTGCTTTTGGCTTGCCCTGCCTGCTGAGATTGGAGGAAGTTGGTGGCACTAAACCAAAAGATAAAGGGAAGGGGATGCTTTGGGCACTGCAGAAAGAACAGTGGACTGGGAGAAAACATCTCCTAAAAAAGAAAGTAGATTTTTTTTTTTTTAATTGTGCTTCAGTTACGCAATTCAGCCTCTATCTTCAGTGACTGCATGAAGCTTGGAATTACTTTTTTATATATATTACATGATATAGTGACACTATAATATTAAAAATTTCTTGAGATTCGGTGTGGTTTTTTTTTTCAAATCATTTTAACTAATCATGTTCTGTATATACCCTAGAATAAGATTCCTAGCCTGGTTCCATGACTAATCAGAAATGTGACTTCAGGCATTTTATTTAATCTCTCTGGGCCTCACACACAAAAATGAGTATCAATAGTTATATAGTTCTCATAAAGTTATCATGAAAATTAAACAAAAGAGACAAAAGAAATTGGAAAAGCATAATAAGAACCCAGTAAAGATTAACTTATTATTATCACACATTATCAGCTCATTTGATTCTCATAAAATTCCTTTTATAGGTTAATAAAGCTGTAGAAGGAAAGTTACTTGAACTTGGATACAGGTAGACTGAAGTCTTAGTCTCTAGACTCCTTCCATTATAAGTAAACATCTGCTTGCTCATGTCTGTCCCAAGCACACAGGGGGCCACGAGACAGCTTGCAGCACTCTCATTAATTACTCTGGGTTTAGAAGACAGTGAGCTCTTGTCTCTATTCAGAGTGGCAGGTGAGAAAATACAGACAGGTGCAAAAATTTAGTAAATATTTAGTATAATTTGAACTCTTCTAAATGTAAGTTGGCAGAACTCCTACCCTTCAGCCATTTGCTGTCCACCAGCACAACATGCAGGCAGCAATGCAAAAGAATTTCTGTAGAGACAGCCTCAGACTAAACCTAAAGTAATTACCACAGTACACTGGAAGGTGAGACATGCCCTAAAGTCAAATCCAGCTCTCCCTCTCATGAGTGCTGAAATTGGCTAATTCATTTACTGCACTGAACCTCAGTTTCTTCATCTGCAGTGTATCAGCTCACCAGACAGACCAATGAATATGCTTCTGAAATCACTTTGTACATTATAAAAATTTAAATCTATCTATAGCACTATATTTTTTTGAGAATTTGACAATTACATTGACTAGGAAACTCAACCAGGCAGTTAATGTAAATAAAGGCTATCCCATGTTATATTTGGAAAGAGAAAATATTCAACTGTTAGATTTGCTAATTTGTTTCTGGTATGTATAATACCAATACTGGCACATATAACACAATTATATTAGTAGTAGCAGTAATAATAAAACAGAGAACTAACTGCGGGCTTACCTGGCACTGTAATATGCATGTATAGGTATGTATATGATTATATGATATATATGATAAAGATATAGATATATGTATATACATATAGGATATATATGAAAGATATAAAAAATATTTTTTACATTCTGACAATAGCACAATGTGGAAATGAGAGACAGAGTAGTTAGGATGATGTTAAAATATAAATTCAATAAAATGAAATGATTATGCAAGTAGGTGGATAGTAACATAGAAAAAAAGGAGTGTTCGTGCAAGAAATTGCTGCTTCGCACCTGGTAAACGTCTTCAGAGAACAACTGCTTGAAGGCAGTGTGAGTTTACATAAATAATGTGGCCAGTGGAATTAAAGAATAACTAGGTTGAAACCTTGGCTCAGTCACTTTCTAGATTTGTGAGTTTAAGTAAGTCATTCAATTTCTGTTTTCTCTGCTACAATACTATAATACCATCACTGAGCTAAATGAGGATTAAGGCAAATGACAAAAGCGCTGGCCTGGAACCTGCACAATCAGCGCGCCACAAACACCGCCTCCGTGATGAAAACAAAGCAGTTGCCTGAGCTCTGCGGCTGCCTTGCATTGTATGTGAGGGTCTCAACCACATGTGCGCTTTTCTACCGTAACTCCTAACATGGTCTACATACATGAGAGTAGGCTCGAGAAATACTCGTTGAACAAAAGAATCCACAATTGAATGAGTGAATTCTTCATGAGCAGTATATAGATTTTGGTTCTAGATCCCAGACTGGTAACCCTACCCAATCTTTGTTGCAACACAGCAAACAACAAATGTTTGCAGAATTGAAAATCTTTCCTCTTTTTTTTTTAAACTAAGAGTTTCTATTTCAAGAGACAATATAGATGCAAGGTTTAAGACATAATTTGACAATAAATACACAAAACATGCGGTACATTTCAAGAAGTTGGGACATCTTGAGTCAAAATTTGCAGTGGGGTCCCTAGGTAAAATACAGGATATGCAGTATTTTGAATATTAGAGAAAACTTGAATTTGAATTTCAGAAAAACAGTGAGCAATGTTTTAGTATAAGTATGTCTTAAATACTAGTATTTGTTGTTTATCTGAAATTAAAATTTGACTGGGCACTCTGCATTTTTACTTACCAAATCTAGAAATACTTGTGACTCTAGAGTAAAACTAAAAGGTCCCACTTCCATCCCATCACCAGGGTCCACAGGGGAGGCCACATGCAGCTGAAACTGCCACTCTGCCTTTCCTTCCAATCTACTGAAACATTTAGACCACTTAAAAAAACCAAAATCCTTCCAGGGACCTTGCATATAAGCAACCTCATTTTCTGGATCCTTGACCTTCAATCTAAAGGACACTTGATTCTCAGCCAAGAGTAAGCGGCCTGCCGTTACAGTCCCATGCCCTCACTTGGTATTTGTGAGGTCTTCTGCAAGGCAATTAATCTTGTCAGTTTCTTAGACCATAAGCTAATATCTTCATACTCGTTAAGATTGGCAAAGAGTAAATTTATACAATACTTGTTAAATAATTATTTACAGAAGTATGCAACACTAAACAAATGATAAAATGTATCCTTGTCTTTATTATTCTGTTACTGTTGATCTTATAACACAATAGGTTGAATCATAGTTTTCTGTCAGACTTGTGCAACTCATCAGAGGACTTAAGAATACAAATTTTAATATCAGACTGACATGGGGCTGAATTATGTTTCTGCCACTTACTATATCTGTGATTTTGAACCAGCTTCTAAACTTCTCTCAAAAACTTCTGTTTCTTTACCTTTAAATTGAGATTTTAAAAAAGCTGCCTCCTTTGTACAGTTGCTAAGCAAACAATATACGACAATGCATGTAGATTACCTGTCACAGGTATGTGCTCAGTGATTGTGACCCATTATCCTCATCGTTATTATCATTACCATAATTACATGCAGAGACATTAAAACCAGGCAGTCAGTATTCCAATTCTGGAATTGGCATTGACTAGCTGCTTAGCTCTAGACAAGTTACTCAGTTTTCAGGAGATTCAGTTTTCTCCTCCAGAAAGGGAAAAAAAAAGTCTACCTAAGTATCAGAGACTGCCAACCTGTTCATTTATTGGAGAAATAAAGGAGGCAATGAATGTGAGGCTTTCACCAGGCAGGCATCAAGTGTGCAATAAATACAAGAGGCTACATAAGCCGTGAGAGGAGGTACAAAGAAGAAGACTTGCCTTGGTGCTGATAATCACCTCTGAGATTCTGCTCTGTTTTTCAGATGACAAACCAGCAGACAAGCCAGATGACGCTGGCAAAAAACCAGAGCCAGACTCAGGGCTCCCAGGCTTCCTCAACCTCCTGGGCACAGAGATCATTGAGAACGCGGTGGCATTCATCCTCCGCTCCATAACGAGGAGCACGTAAGCATGGGACACATCTTGCTTTTGTCTGGTTCCTTTTGTTAAGTGACTGCACTGCATTAAAATGAATGAGAAACACAATCATGGTGCATACCAAATCTATTATTTTTCATTAAAAAGTCTGCCCTCCCTTAAGATATATTTGTATCTGAATGAATGAATTTGCCTAAATTCTCTGGGTTGAGCAAATTCCATCAAGTGGTTCCTTTTTTTTTTTTTTTTTTCCCTCAGGGCCAAGTAGGGAGGAGGTAGTGCACCAGGTCTGGGGACAGAACATCCGGTTCTGGTCTTGACTCAGGTGCTACTTCACTGAGTGATCTTGGGCAAGGCCCTCCCTCTCTGAGTGTCTCAGTTGGCTCATGGGTATTGCTGAAGAAGTACAGAACCCACGCCAGGCAGACCCTGTAACTCTCTGGCAGTGGTGATGGTTATTGATGAGTTCATTAGTGCTGGGTATGAGACAGGATGAGTCCTGCCTTTATTTTCTAGTTTGGGTACATGAGAGACCTTGCAGAGACCACAGCTAATCCTTTTAGAGACAAGAGAGGAGTGTTTGAGAACCTCTTCATAGGAGCATTTGTGTTCATGAGTAATGGCGTTGGTGGCAGACAACATGGCACAGAGTCTTCCCAAAGTTCTCAACCTACTTCCAAATGGCTGTAACCAACTCCTAACACATCTTCTTCTGCCTGCATAGCTCTTATCTTACACTTCTGCTTCATTCTGTTCTTCATTCTCCCTGCATTAAATACCCTAATTTCAATGCTCTGGGATCAAATTTGCTCTTCTAAATTTCCATGTGCTTTCAGTCTCCAGCCCTCTGAGCTTTTGCTCGCTAATTCTCTTCTTCACAGGCCACTAGGCAGAGATGGAGCATGATCTAGTCCCCACCTGCTTGAGAATCCCCTGAAAAATTTATACAACATGCAGGGCCTCCCTGGTGGCGCAAGGGGTTAAGCACTATGAAGCAATCGGCAGTCTCTGCAGCTCAGCACAGCAGTTCGATCCCCGGCCAGCCAGGGAGCAACCCACATGGCGAGGCAGACCTCTCCTGTCTCGCCCGCTGCTGCTCCCCTCAGCAGTGTATTTCAGTCAATCTGCCTGTTCTGTTCCCCACTCTGTCTCTGGTGGATCCTCTCACCCCCCACATCTCTGGCCTGTGCCCCAGCTCTTATATGCATAAATAAATAAATCTTAAAAAAAATTTATACAACATGCAGGTTCCCATATCATCTTGTACTTTCCTGGGGCAAGGCTAAGGATATGCATATAATAAGCTCTGCAGGTGATTCTGATTTACAATAAAATTTGAAAGTCCTTGATTAGATGCTCTGGGCTATCTGGCTGAACCACAAAGGTCTACATAACCTTTAAATTTTCAGACTCTGTATAGATGTGAATCTTGGCATTTTCTACAGAAAATCTTATTTTACTAGATTTTTTTCTCCTACAAATAATCTTATTTTACTACATTTTCTAAGGGTCTGTGACTAGTAACAGATTAAGAACCACTGCTATAGAGATGTAAGCAGGGGTTATTTTAAAATTTCTGTTTTGCATTAAAAAATATTTTACCATGTGGACAGCCAGGAGCCTTCACATGTACAAAGTGTTGAAACCCACAAATTTTCTTTTTGTAAGGTTATTATTCCCATTGTGATTGCTTTTGCAACTGTTGCATTCTCATGATTGTTAATATAAATAGGGAGGAAACTGACACGCAAACAAGAGTAACACCCACTATGTACAAGGTTCAAATTAGACTAATTGAATTCATAATGTTATTAATTATGCAATCGCAATGTATGGTGTTGAAACAAAAATAGTTCTTTTCAGACCTTTCCTGGGGAGTTTCCCAGATATAAAATAGCTGTTTTTTTTTTCTTTGTTAATCTTGTAAATTGATTTAAAGTTCAAGAATTGCTGTCAGTTCTGGGTTCAGAAATGGCACTTCATCTTCTGTTTTCTCTTTCCCTCATTATATTGTGACTAAATTATATTCCTTCTATTCCTGGAACTTATAACTATCTCAGGCTCTCTGTTCTTGCTTTCGATTCTGCCTAAAATGCCTTTTCCTTTTCTCATGTCTTTGTCCTACGGGATATCCAAATGTTACCTTCTCAGAAAACTATTCTATGACATTTATGAACAATGTCCCTTTCATGCTGTAGTTAATTATTCTCTATCACTTTACCTTGTTAAAGTGCCATTATAACAAATCACTTTCTCAAATACAACCATGGAGTCCAGATCTATGTAGTTTATTGCATACACAGTACCTTGTACTCAGTACTTAAGCATTGTCTAAGTAATTATTGAATTAAGTCAGGAAAGGAAACTTACAGATCCGATCCAACACCCATCTAACCTAATTTGATTGAGGAATCCTTGTGCAGAGACTTAGCAATTCTTGTTCAAGGGAACAAATCTAACTGTTCTCCCTCGGCTCAAGGGAGACCACAAAGACCACAGATATAACAAGGAATCGAGGAAGGGCAGACACCATCACATGCAATGATGGAAACCAAAGTTACTTCAATGAAAGAAATAAATAATGCTGAGTGAAATTGTACAAAAGGAGAAAGATAAATACTGGATGGTGTCACTAATATGTGGAATATAAAATAACTAGTCTGACACAGATGGTTGAAAAACTAACCCTTGACAGCTGACCACAGAACTGACACCAAGGGGGAAGAGGGTGGGGAAGCGGAATGAACAGGGAGGGAGGGAGGCATAATGGTCTGTGGTGATGGAGTCTGCGTGAGTTGGTGGTGGATGCAGTGTGGTGGTAATACTTGATGGGGATAGCCCAATATTATCTCAGTTAAAAATTTATTAATTAATTAAAAATAAGTTAATGGCCAAAAAAAATAAAGTGTCCCTAAAGACTTAATATGTACAAAGTAGAGGCAAAGCTTGTGGAGGAAAAAATCTAGACTGTAAATCCCTTCTCCTCAAAGAATTTACAGTCCTTATGGTAAGATGTGAGCAAATTCAAGGGTCATGAAAAACCATGCAAAATAAATGTCAACCAAGCATCACAGAGAAAAGTGCTAGTCATTGGGACCAGAAGGTTTAAGGGAGTATTTATGGTAAAGGTAAGGTGCAATCCGGGCCTTAAAGGATTGACCGGGATTTGATCAAATTGAGATAATGACAGAAATGGTGGGACCTCATAAAGAAGGAAATCTTGCTTTATTTACCCTGGTTAGATTTGATGCCTAAGAGTTGTGTCAGGCACACAAGATAGGCTAGATAATGTACTTTTCTTTCAGGAGAGTGAATAGACCAGCTTGCTCGCTCCACTTGCCTTTTGGGCAACCTCAGAACTATGAACTGCATGCGACTCACCATTATTCTAAAAAAAATCTACATATTCTTAATTCCTCTGATCCTCTAAGAAGTCACCAATTCTTGTGAATCCCCCACTCCCACCTTGGGATTCTACTTCACTACATTCATGGAATGTTCCCATAGATCTGTCACTACTTCTGGTCATTCTATTCTTTTTTTTTTTTTTTTAACTTTTCCTCATGCTCCTGCCCCTTAAACATCATTATTGCTTCTCAAAGCTCCAAATGTAGCCTGCCTGATTTTTCAGAATTTCCACATTTGGAAAATTACATATAAGTTAATGAACTGCAAATTCAGAATTGCAAATCTAAACACTGCAATTTTTTCCTGAGATACTAACTGAAATACTAATTACTCATAAAAAATTTCACCTAGGGCCTCCCCGGTGGCGCAGCGGTTGAGCTCTGGGTTGCGAAACTGCCTGCAGCCTCTGCAGCACCGGTTCGATCCCCGGCTGCTCCCCGGCCACCAGAGGAGGGTACACATGGCGCGCAGACCTCTCCTGCCGCCTGCTGCTCCCCTCAGCAGTGTGCTTCGGTCCTTCTGCCTGCTCTGCTCCCCGCTCTGGCTCTGGTGAAATCTCTCACCCTCCCGCGCTTCTGACTGTACCCAGTGCTTGTATAAATAAATAAATAAATAAATAAATAAATAAATAAATAAATAAATAAATCTTTAAAAAAAAAAAATTTTACCTAGGTTTTCCACCAATACCTCAAATTCAGCTGATCTAAATCCAAGCCCACATCTCATTTACAAACCTTCTCTTTTTCCCAAGTTCCTTATCTTAGTCACATCTTCATTCATTCAGAATCCAAAAACCTCAACATCTTCTTCGAGCCTTCTTGACATTCACTGTCTTCATCTAATTGTTAAATATTCTCCTTATAAATATTTTTCTTATGCCATTCTTTTCTTCAACTCAGCTGACTAATTGGTCTACTTGAGCCCATCATCTCTTTCCTGAGCTCTTTCTATTAGATTTATAGTTTATTTCACTGATTCTGTCTCTTCTCACTCTAACCCATCCTCTGTACCTACAATCAAAGTTATTTAACAAAACCATGAATTTGGTTCTATTATTGCCAAGCTTCATATCCTTTCACAAATTTCCATGGCCTGGGCCTCCCCGGTGGCGCAGCGGTTGAGCGCTGGGTTGCAAAGCTGCCTGCGGCCTCTGCGGCACCGGTTCGATCCCCGGCTGCTCCCCGGCCACCAGAGGAGGGTCCCACATGGCGCGCAGACCTCTCCTGCCGCCCGCTGCTCCCCTCAGCAGTGTACTTTGGTCCTTCTGCCTGCTCTGCTCCCCGTTCTGGCTCTGGTGAATTCTCTCACCCTCCCACGCTTCTGACTGTACCCAGTGCATGTATAAACAAACAAACAAATAAATAAATAAAACATGCCTCTATAAAAAAATAATAAAAAAATAAAATAAAATAAAACACAAATTTCCATGGCCTATATAGCAAATGCACTTCGTGATGCTAAAAATTCTTCCCTAGTGTCAACATATCCTTCAATGACATCACTCACTCATGAAGCCAAACACCTAATGCTCCAATGACACATGATTTTTGTTTCAGAGTAGGTCATGCTCATATATCTCTCAGGATCTCTGCACATGCTTTCTGCCAGCAATGCCAGTCCCCAGAACCTCAACTCCACAGCTCCCCACTACCCAATTTCTGGACAGCAGAGTATCGTGGTCCTGGCATTAATTTCTGA